GATAGATAGATAGATAGATAGATAGATAGATAGATAGATAGATAGATAGATAGATAGATAGATAGATAGATAGATAGATATCAGAAATAAATTTACTAGGGTTCTACTTCCATACTTTGTCAACTAATCTCCACTAGCAAAAAACAGTACAAGATGAAAAGACATAGTAAATCATTGCAATAATTATGTTTCCATGAAAAGCTTTACAGCATATGAGAGTAAATTGCTTCATAAATCTATCCTTTATGTAAGCCAAAAAACATTCATAAGAAAGATTTGCAAGTAATAGAATAAATAGCTTTCTGAAACACGAGTTTATCTTTCAAAACTTTAAATCATAGGTCGATGCTATCTGTGAAATGTCATAATAATAAAATGACTCCAAGAATCAACAACAAACATTCTAAGAGCAACGTGTAAAATTGAAAGCAAACTAACAGCATGTTGCTCAACTGAAAGTGCTATCACACACTGCTTTCATGAAGAGATGACCTGTGAACAGAAACAACTGGATTTCACATCCAAGTGTCTTGTTATTGCTGAGCAGAGATACCTTTTAACAGGATTTATGGACTGCCCCATGGGATCTCTCGCAGTTAAAAGCAGTCAAGTTTAAAATACCGTTTTGTCTTCAGGCATTCACACAGATTTATGAACAAGATTCTGCATGAATAACTATCTTGTATATACACATAATCATAACATCAAATGAGAAATCAATACAGGCAACATGCTGACCATACAGTTTGCTTTTTTATTTTTATTTATTTTTTTCATATGAATCACTGCAAAAAACACTGCAAAAAATGAGGATGTCCATTAAATTAAATTCTATCAATTCTGATGAATTTCTAAATTACAAATTAAGTTCTTAATCAATATGAGATCATATCTGAGCTAGATATTAATATTAAATCAACTACTTACACTGCAAATATTACTAAAGCATGCCACTTAACGGCCTGAAGATTAACAAAGTATTCCCTCAGAGTCTTTCAGATGAGTCTGTTACTCAGGGGTTTTAAAACTTGGCAACTTTAAGACTTGTGGACTTCAACTCTCAGAACTCCTCAGCCAGCTGAAGTCCACAAGTCTTAAAGTTGCCAAGTTTGAAGACTCCTGCTGTTACTCACTGTGGGATACAAAGAATCAGAGCAAATTTTACATTATGAAATACAACTTGGCTATTGGTCACATTCTCTACCAAAATTTCAGGAAGTATTCACTCCAATGCACACAGAATCACTGCAATATAAACTTCAGAAGACATCACATGGCAATCTGAATTGTAAATCTATATGGTGCTATGTGGTCCAAATGTAATGGCTGGAATCAATCCCCGTGGAGATCCCATCATTTCCAAAGATGCTTTACGAATCTTCACATGGATGGGAGTGTAGGTTTTTTCTTGGATTTCTTTCCCCAGAAATCATCAAAAAAGAGCCAGTAAGGAATAAGTATTCTCAGTGGTCATAGAAATAGGGTGAGAGATGAAAAAGTAAATCAAAATATTGAGGAAGGGGACTAGCTTGCTCGGAGGAAAAGATGGCTAATCTCTGAATCAAGAAATACTTTTTTTATAGCAGAATATTTGGTGCAAATTTTAAATTATTATTTAGTTATTGTTAATTGTGACAAACATCTCTTATTCTATCAAAGGAGTTCACATAAAATCAGTGCATGTAGGTGTGGAGTAATAACATTTTTCCCTGGTATATCAACTGTCCTTACTGAAAACAATATGAAAGAATTATCAGAAATGGGAGAAAAAAAAGAGACATTGTATCTTAACTTCCTATCTATGTGGGAATACACAACATTTTTGCTGTCTTAGGCCAGTAGCTGTATAATAGAAAAAAAATTTCCAGAATCAGAGACTAATATTTCCAATGAGTTTGAGCTATAACACCTCTGCTATATTGGTACCTGTTTCGTCCGATAGCTGTGTTCTAAGAAAGTGTCTGGCTCATAGTCTATTAAATATACAATTAACTTAGTATCATATTTATTTATTTATTTATTTATTTATTTATTTATTTATTTATTTATTTATTTAATTGAATTTTTACCCCGCCCTTCTCCTTGCGGACTCAGGGCGGCTGACAGCCTGATAAAAACAAATACAAAAAATACCCCAATACTATCGTTAAAAAACATAATTAAAATGAAATATTAGATTTGGCCTTTGTTAATTTAAAATTGTTTTTAAAACCNACGAGTCCCTCCCAACACCGCCCGCGCGGCCGCATTCTGGACTAACTGGAGCCTCCGAGTGCTCCTCAAGGGAAGCCCCATGTAGAGAGCATTGCAGTAGTCCAGGCGGGAGGTGACGAGGGCATGGGTGACTGTGCGCAAGGCGTCCCGGTCCAGAAAAGGCCGCAACTGGTAAATCAGGCGTACCTGATAAAACGCCTCCCTGGTCACGGCCAACAACTGGTCTTCCAGTGTCAGCCGTGGGTCCAGGAGGACCCCCAGATTGCGTACCCTCTCCGAGGGAGCCAAAATTTCGCCCCCTATAGTCAGCGATGGAGTCAGCTGACTATGCCGAGGCGCCGGCAGCCACAGCCACTCAGTCTTGGAAGGGTTGAGCCTGAGTCTGTTCCTCCCCATCCAGACCCTTACGGCCTCCAGGCATCGGGCCATCACGTCAAGGGCATCATTGGGGTGGCCTGGGGTGGAAATGTACAGCTGAGTATCATCAGCGTACTGATTTAACTGCTACACTGATAATTCTGTAACTAGAATTCTTCCCACAAAACAGTTGATCTGGGTGCTCACTCACACACACACACACACACACACACACATTCCTTCTCCAACTCACCCAATATCTCTCATATACCCTTGCGTACTTTCCCCACAATGCATTGCACCCCTGCACCCACTCCATGACCCACACTGCACCTCTTGTGCACCCTCACCAACTTGTGCCACCCCACACACCCTCGCAAACCATGTGGCATTTCCCTTTGCACATGTAAGCACCATTCCTGACTCATGTACTACATCTCTCACATTCTCACACAACCTCCATGGTTCGGGTAGCACTTGTGCATCCCCTTGCACTCTTGTGCATCTTACTCAAGCCTCTCCTATACCCCTCCCTTACCGCCATGCTCCATTCCCCACTCAGCAGCAGTCACTTTACCTACTTGTGGGTCTGGGACTTGCAACTTCCTGCTGGCTTCCCCACTGACTTTGGTTGCAGGAAGTTGCTTTGCCCAATAGTCGTGGGATTCAGTTGATGATAGCAGCTGGGACTGCAAGAGTTACCATTGGTAGATGATGCAGTTGTGTTTTATGATTGTATCACTTAGTGATGGAAATTCTGCCCCCAATTGCCATTGTAAGTTGGGTATTTCATATCTCAAGAACTATAAAACAGATACATCCAAGGCTCCAGACTGGATCCTGTAACATTATCTGGGGACATGTATATTTGCCTTCGTTCATGAAATATATCCAACATATTTAGGGGATGCTAAATTCAGAAAACTTAAGGCATATTAAGTATTGTGGAAATAAGTTCAGAATTACATCATTTTTGAACGGTATGTGTGCAAAAACATATTAGCTTTCTATATTAGGGCAGTGCAGTGCCTTTCAATTCTGGGGGAAAATGTTTTATAATTTGAAAAAAATGAAAGGAATTGAACAGTCACAAAAGCTGAAGACCTTTTACTAAGAACAAAATGGAGCAAGTGCATTACAGAAAGTGAATGAATATTATCTTTTCCTTCATTGGTGTATGCTATTAAGCAGATTGATTTATTGTCCCCAAATCTGACAATATTTTTTTTAAGTTGTAAGCAGGGTTTATTCATTTTGTAAGTAACTATAAGGAATTGCATCTGGCTGTTTGATATTTTAACTCTATGCATTAGTGGGTTTTTTTCTGGCAACCGTTAAGATTCCTAACTGAGGCTAAACTGAACATTGAGATAAAGACTCTTGAAACTCTCATAAAGCCTTGCAATACAAGAACTTTACAAGCAGACAAATGACACAGAGATGCAACATGTGTAGCTCTCCCAAATTTCCCATTAGACAATAGGCCCATGCTACTACGGACTTTAGCCTCATTCAGATAATATAACTATTTATTAGATTTGTTAATGCTGCACAATCTTAACAAATCAAATAAAGAAATCAATAAAATGTTAAATTGCAGTTTATATATTTAGAAAACATATATTGTCTTTAAAATAAAAAATAAAAATATCAATTAAACAATAAAATCACCACATTAATCATAACAGTAAAGAAGTACGAACATTATATAAAATTAGTTTTCATCACATAGAACACACCTCTACAAAAATATTCAAACTAATAAAAACAATAGCAAGTATTCCAGATTACAGCCTTTGTACCTGAAAACCCACTGTACGGCAAGACAGATGAATTTGTCATTTCTAAAAAGGAATTTGAAATGACCAATGGTATTTCCCACTTCTTCTCCAACTCTAGCACACATGCTGATCTCTGCTGTAAAACTAAGCAATAAAATGCATGTAACCTTGTAAGGATCTATATTTTTCCTATGTTGATTTTTGAATGCCAAAGAAAAAAACAGATCAGCTTTTGCCACCTAGAATGGTTTTGGAATGTACTTAATGTCAGGGTCCAAATCGCTGTTCACAAGCAATATCTCTTCATCAGTTTCATTCTTCTTACTGAATAATACACTAGCTGATCATTTAAAATGCAAAGCAAGAAATGAGTTTTATTTATGGTACAGTTTTCAGCGGTTTGCTACAGATACTGTTTTTGTGACAGCTGAGTTTGAGAGAAAGTTTATTCAGATTTTGCTACGAATCTGATCGTACATTGTGCAAAGTGTCTATAACACAGATTATTCAGAAAAATTGAGTCCCGCTGCTACGATTCTTTGCTTTCAGCATATAGTGGAAAGTGAAGGTATTTCTAATTAAGAAAGGACAGAAAAGGGCAAAAACAATGTACAAAATGTTTATTAAGTTTTTGTTATAAGTTCCTACCTGTGGGTCAGAAAGACGAGATAGGTCGGGATACAGGTAGAATTTTATTCCTTCAGAGGCCCCAGGTAATGTTACTCCTCGAATCAGTAGAACCAACAACATGACGTATGGAAATGTAGCCGTTACATATACAACCTATGAAAAAAGAGGGAGAAACCAAAGAACACATCATTTTACCAATGATCGCCTATTTTATGTCACGTAATATCCTTATGTCCATAAAACATTTAACAAGTGAATGTCTACAGCAGGATAAGACAGTTAGCTATCTTGATATTTTTGGATTAAAATTCTCCAGATTCCTCGCCTTTGCCCACCTTGGTTCTTCTGAGGGAAGCTGAGTGCAAAATACCTAAAGGAAGTGGTGTCTTGGGAAGGGGGAGGAAAGGATGTCAGATTAATAAAAAAGCACAATCACGTGTTGTGAGACAACTCCTACCACCTTTCTAAGGCAACCTGGTATTGCATACCAAAGGAGTGGGATGGTGCTGCTTTGATCATTTTGAGGAAAGCTTCCGATTCTTCAGGAGCAATTCTTTTAAACAGTCATGGCACAAAAAGAGCCAGTATTATCCCTAGGGTCCACATCCAGGCTTTCTTCTGACTGCTTTTAACCAACAGGAAATGCAACAGAGGTCTCACTTTCACCAAATCAGTAACAAAATAACAAGCAGATCCAAGAATTCCACACCACTGCTAAATCAAAACTGGAATTAACACAGTAAATTTATGTAGAAAAGAGTACAGATAGTCCTCACTTAGTGATCACTATTGGGACTGCTCACTCCATTTCTAAGCAAAACATCACATGAAAGTGATGGACTTACAGTGTCACTTTTGCCACAGTTGTTAAGCAAACCACCCACAGTTGTGAGAATCATGTGATTGCAACTTGTGCTTTTATCAGCAGCTAAACCATTGATTCTACTTTTCAGAAGTCAGTTATGAAATGCGCAAGTGACAATAACGCAACCGTGGGATGCCGCAATGATGGCAAATGCCCACTGGTTTCAAAGTGCTCAAATGTTAATCACGGGATGGTAGGGCCATAAGCGTAGGACTGGTTGTAAAGTTACTTTTTCAGCACTATCACAACTTCATGATGGTCATTAAGTGAGGCCAATCTGCAGTAAAAAGCTATTTCAGAGCTACGTATTTTTTGTGAAATAGGCACTTCACATGTAGGAGAGCATATGATGGGTCTCTGTTTAAATAATTACAGATTTGCATCTTCTTCCAGTCTTGCACATCTGCTTCATAAGCTTTTTCCCAATGCAAGTACATGAACAGCCACCCTGTCTCCCCTTTTTCTAGTGATATAAGTGACAGTATATGAACATCTAACATGGCGCACAGCATTTCTTTCAAAGATGTTGTAAGGCCTTGGTTTATTCGCACTGTTATCTCTTTACATAATTTCAAACCAAACACGCAGAAGTTTTCAAATGTGATTCATGCTGTTAATTGTGAGCTGAAGTTACATTTTTATGAATAGAAACAAGTTTATAAATAAATAACATTTAAAAAAAATATTATGGCAGGGTTAATATGAATTAAACAGATGGCTAAAAACTTTGGCTTTGAGGCAAAATATTACATATTTTTTTAGTCTCATGCAACTAACTCTCTTTTTCAGAAACCTCTCTCTCTCTCTCTCTCTCTCTCTCTCTCTCTCTCTCTCTCTCTCTCTCTCTCTCTCTCTCTCTCTCTCTCTCTCTCTCTCTCTCTCTCTCTCTCTCTCTCTCTCTCTCTCTCTCTCTCTCTCTCACCCCAAAGCTGCAGGGTGTCTCTCCAAGGAAGAAAGCTGATTTACTATATTTGATGGTAGCCCACAACCCCCTCGTTATCTGTCTGTCTGTTCTTCTGTCCATCCATCCATCCATCCATCCATCCATCCAATCATACACTCACACTTACATATACAATACATTTTAACTTATCCTGCTTCATGATGATTTAAACAAAAATATCAATACAAGTAAACATTACATAGACTTCCCAGTCCACCATCTTTGCAAAATGTTAGCAAGGGGCCAAGGTGTTTCATAATGTCCCTCAGGGTTCATGACATGAGGACTCACAGAAGCTTCTTTGGGGACTTAAAGGGCAGATGATTCCAATTGGAAGACATGATCCTGCAAAGCACATGGGTACTAAATTTTATAAGGCTTAACAATTAAAACAACTATCTTGAAAGCCTCTTGGCAGCAACGTTTGTTTGTTTGTTTGTCTGTTTGTTTGTTTAACTTATTTGCCATTCACCTCATATCGAAATGACTCTGGGCTTCTTACAGCATTAAAACATTAAAATCCTAATTGATAAATATTTCTAAAGCAATAAAAATGAAAATCACAATCAAAATAAAATTATCATTAAAAGATGGGAAGGGAACAAGATGTTCATCAACCATCTCCAGTATGATTCTTCCCCATTGGGGTCCCAAGCCGTCTGGCAGAGCCAGGTCTTCAGACTGTTGCGGACTATCAGAAGGGTAAGAGTTAATCTCACTTCAGGGATAAGACGTTCCAAAGGGCAGAAGCTGCCTTCTCTTGGACCCTGCCAGCCAGAATTCCTTATGGGATGGGACCTGCAGCATGCCTCCTCTCCCTGCACAGGTGGGGGCCAGTCCCAGTAGGGTGAGATGGTTCCTCAGGTAACCTGGATCCATGCCATGTAGGGCTTTAAATGCAATAACCAACACCTTGAATTGCACCCAGAAGCAGACCAGCCAACAGTGCAAATTGTGGACTAGTGGTGTAACATAGGTCACCCTAGGGACCCCAAGAACTGCCTGCACAAGGTGAAACTTCCAAATGCTCTTCAAAGGTAGTGAATGTAATGACCCCACCATATCAAACTCTTGGACCTAACTTCTCTTATCAATAGTCAGGTCACTGTACAGTAGTTTTATCAGTTGCAGCTTCAAATTATTTTTAATAGCAGTCTAAACTAAAATACATTGCCATTAGTCCAATGGAGAGTGATGATGATGGTATCAATTACTGTGGCAAAGGGCATCTTGATGCAAAAAATTCTACAAATAGCATATCAAACAAGGTTGGGCAAAAGCCACCCTGGCCATAGCCTACATCTGCTGCTCCAATGTTGTACCTATTCCTCCTGCACCAACCCTATCTGCTATCATTTGCCTAAGTAGTAGGTGAACCAAAACAAAAAAGTACTTCCCACATACAGATGGGTCTTGCTCACAAATGGATCAGTAGATGATAATAACCATACCTCCCATTCTTTCCCATCATGATCCCAATGTAGGTAATCAACAGGATCTGCTAGGAGTGACTCTTCCCCTGAAACTCTACCTCTCTAATATGATTGGGTAGAGAGGGAGTCCCCAACCTTTAAGGGGTAACATTTTAGGATTGTAACACTTTAAATCTGAGCCCAGTACATTAAAGTTATGCTACAATATATACTATGCTATATTACATTATGACAATTACTTGCTGCTGCTGTGCTATCTCTACTTTCTACAAAGGATACAACCTTTGTCCTTTGAGTCTTCTTTTGATGATGTGGAACATGATGCTATTGCTATTATGGCATTCAGTACAGTTCTTTTTAAGGTTGGGCAAGGGACCATCTGTCTCCCATTATATCTGCCCAGCCAATTCGATCCTGTAGGGTTCACACATTCTAAGTTCCTTAAAAAATGTCATCTCTCTTGGGACCCCAAAACTTTGCTGTAGCAAAGGAATGAGGTTGCCCCTGAGATCTGGAGGACCCCCATTCTGCTGTTGTCTAAATGAACTGTGCAGACTGGTTCTTCGCCCAGGCTTTCAGTAAGAGAGAGTGATATACCTCATTTTATCATATTTGCCATCTTGAATCTTTATATTTTATTATTATTGTTATTATTATTATTATTATTATTATTATTATTATTATTATTATTATTATTGTTGTTGTTGTTGTTATTGTTGTTGTTGTTGTTGTTGTTGTTGTTGTTTCATATGGCAGCTTTTCAAGTACTTCAATACATACACATCCAAGTTTGGAAGACTTTGGATATTTCCTGAAGCAGTTTTATCAGGTTTCAAGCTTTTATGGCTGCTTCATGGGTTTATGAAGCAGATCCAGGAAGTAAAGCTCACAAATAAAGCATCTCACAGAATTATATGCACAGTCCTTATTGTTATTTTTCCTGCATACATCTCAATAAACAGTAGACACTGCCTATGCTTTTATTTTTAAAACTTTTCCACAACATGTCAACCCTCTCTGAATAAAATTAGAACAAAACAGTTTCTAATTACACTACATCCTGCTTTAATTGCTTCTAATTGCTTGATGTACAAATTTGCATATCAATGCCTAAAATAGTTCTTCCATTGCTATGTCACAGCAACATCCATGTCTACATTAAAGAAATAAAGTAAATATGAAGACTTTTCTACATCTGCTGGAACAGTTTAATTAAAAACTAATCTGTGATCAGAAATCATAGTCCACCGCATGCAAAAGGAGCAGATTTAACCTTGGAGGCCCAGTTCAGAAGACAAGAATCACTGTAACCATATGGTATACTTTCCAGCTAGCTAAGAGAATAGGAAGCACTTAGCATGGTGAATTTAGCTGCAAAAGTTAAAAATAGATTTCTTGTGCTCTCCTTACAATACAAGATGTCAGTTCAATCTTCACAGACTATATCACTGAAGCTTGAAAGCAAACTGAGTCCAGAACACAGAACCATCTACCACAAATTCAACTCCATTGCTTTGCTTTTATCATGCCCATAAATCTTCTGGTGTTCAAATAATATTCCTTTAACCTTAGTCACTTACATTTGATTTTACATGTATGCGATTACAGACATAAAATACTGTTCCTAAAAAAAATGATAACAGAAACTCTCCATTTCATGAATTATTATTCCAGATACTGGAAAATAAATTACATGAGTCCAAATGGACAGAACTACAGGAACCAATGAATGCATTTCCCCATTGCTTTATCTTTTTTTCTATTTCAAGTCTTTGTCACTGAAAAAAAAACTACTGTCACCTTCTTCTTCCCCTAATGTTTCTGGCTTGGCTATCAGCTTTTTGGAATGGCTCTGCCCCCATCTGCAGTAAAGATCCTTATCTAGGTAAGTCCTGTCTGGAGAATTCTGCCA